ACATAAAGTGATGCTCCGTAATATAACTTGAATATTGTTCTAAGCGTTAAATCCAACTCACTCTTACATTATATGCGGCTAATTGTAACAGACCTGTGCCCTCCTCCACAAAGCGATCTTAGGTCTACGGCTGTCGTAAGTCAATGCTAAGTACGGGAGTTACGATCGTTTCGCAATAAAAATGGCTTTGTTGAACGGTCCGGGGTTTAAAAAAGTCGGCAGAGATAAAAGAGTTTGGTCCCTAGCATCAAACAGCATCGTAATTACACCATGTTGTTTGGAAAGATCGGCATTAGGCGAAGCCTTTGATGAATCACACGACACCGAGCAATTACGTACAGCCGCGCGTCGCTAATATTTCTTTGTGATCTTAGCAATAGAACACTTAGAAGTTCATTAAGCTGAAACTAATCGTCAGATATTTCAATCGTGTATACATAGCCCCATGAAGCAATCTATATCAACGTCCATTGTGTAAATACATCTTAAACAAATATATCGCTCACTTAGTCGGCTAAAGGGAGGCTGTTACTTGGTCTGGTGCATATTACCAGACAAAATAGTGGCGTGTGGGATACCGAGACGTTGTCTCTGTGTTAGTATTAACAAACTGATTTAAATAATTAACTGTAGCAGACTTTAATTATTTAAAATCACAAATTGGCGACTTCCAATTGACCAGATACGAATCTCTCTTTTCACTTGTCATCCTGGAATATGGGCGACTCGTGTGCACCCTATGGGCAATTTTAATTCATTGTGTCGAAAAATAAAACAGTAGGATAACTAAGTGTCTGAAATGCAATTTTTGGGGGGTTAAGTTGGGTTTTTTAACATTTAATATAAAGAAGCCCAGATATTCTTTTGATTTTCAGAAACCGAGGAAATCTGGACTTGCCACCGTATAGTAAACTTGCTTTGGAATATTTTCGTTTCCGGGTCAGTTATTAATAGATTAATTAATAAGACATATATCTGTATTTATTCGGACATAAACCATAGCAGGTGGGTCTTTCTATGAGTGAAGTTTATGATGTAACAATCGTCTGAACTATGGAACTGACTATAAACAATAACGTCTTCACGTGCACCACATGTACATGTTCCGACCGTCCTCCACATAGCACTTCTACAAACCCTGCATTGACTTTTTCTTTTATTTCCAGATAACCCCACTTGTGTCCCTCTAATGTCATGCTCCCCACATGACAAAGGTCACGGGAAAGCTTTCTCACAAATGCTGTTTATCTTCACAACACTTGCCTCGGGCCACGCTGCATTTGTCGTAGCTGCAAGAACCAATTGTTCCTCCACATACCTAGACATGGCGAGATAAACCCTTATTTAGATGACACGCTAATTGTTCCTGTTGTGACTTCTACAAATATTAGATAACCAGTTGTATACACACGTAATTAATGAACTTATTGTGTCTTGGACGGTGTAAATATTTACTGAACGGTTTATAATTGGCAGATGCTTTAGAAATGGGATACTTTTTTTATCAGAGGGTTTACTGGTATGTCGGGCAATGAAACCAGGGAATATGCAGGTCAAAGAGGATTAGAGCCGACCAGCTTTTTGACATTAGGGTTTATGTTAAAGTTAATTGCACAGATGATAATGTAATAAGAGCGAAGCGATGAGATCATCAGCTTGAATCAAGTCTTTCATGGGCATTTCAGTCGTTGACAACAGGGTTGACAACATGAAACGTTTTATGATAAAGTCTTACGTTACGTTTAGTTAGTATTCATTCACCTGATGAAGATGAAAGAAGATGCCCCTAAATGCTATTACGATACAGCAATCACTGGATTGTCTGGTCCAGACTCGATTATTTACAGACCGCCGTCATATAGCCGGAATATTGCTTAGTGCGGCGTTTAACAACAAACAAACAGAACATTACAATACAGAAGTCATCCATAAAATAGTTAATGTCATCAATTAGTTTTTTGTAAAGTGAACGTACAACACATCGAGTGAGTTTACCAGTTAGGAGCGTTTCCATAACAACACGTCCCAGTGTGCAGACACTGACTTGGAAGAATAAGTATATCGCAAAGATGTTATATCAGGAACATGTAAATTTGAAATAATGCCCCATGTACATGAATTCATAAAGACATATTACAGGTTTGTATAGTAGTCACATGTCAATTGCTTGTACATATACACCAATTGCTTGTACATATACACCAATTGCTTGTACATATACACCAATTGCTTGTACATATACACCAATTGCTTGCCGTAAAAGGCGACAATGCTTGTCGTAAGAGACGACTAACGGGATCGGGTGGTCAGGCTCGCTGATATGGTTGATGCATGTGATCGTATCCCAATTGCGTAGATTGATGATCATGATGTTAATCACTGGATTGTCTGGTCCAGACTCGATTATTTACATTCCACCATCACGTAGCTGGAATATTGCTGAGTGCGGCGTTAAACACACAATCAACATCAACAACACTCTTTACTTGTATTGCACATGTTATTACATGAAATGTATATCACCTTGTAACCGTAGGTGGGACTACTGCAAGTGGATGACTACTTTTGTCTGATCTATTTGACGTTGTCAATAAAATGTGTATAAATCAAATCAACCACGTGGTATTCAATCAGGACATACGTTTCTGACAGAACGAAAACACCTATGATTTCACATATCTAAGAAACGTGAAACATAAAAGCACATTTATACCCATACCTGATCCCTACCCCTGTAAAGACAAAAGTATTGCTTTGCCTAACCGACATACAATCAGGACAAGATCTGTGGAGTACTGAAACAAAATCACTATAATGTTATCATAAGTATATTATACGACCATTACAACATGAGCATCTTTGAAAAGTGGATTTATTAGTTCATATTAAACTGGGGACTTACGGGCAAATGGTAAGATGGTAAGATAACTGACTTGGTACTTCAAACGACTCTATCCCTGTGCCCCATTATGGTTTTCAATAATTAACCAGTTATATCCATTCAGTAATATTAATTTTCATAAATGACACAGTAACTTCATTCGGCATATCAGATTTTGTTTCACCAGGAGTTTGCTTCCATTGATGTATTGAAGACATACGCCTGGAAATAAGTCAAGCACAACTGTATCTACATTTTCACATATCTCGAACTTCCATGTATCAATTTGATACGTCTAGATATGACATCGATCTCGTGTTTTTATACAAATGTTCAATAACCGATACCTCTGAGGTCTTGGCGCAAGAACGCTGTTGGTTCTTCAAGATGGTCGTGTTCTGTCATACTGTGCGATAGAATGAATATGGGAGAGGGTATGCAACTGACAGGCATTAGATTTCAGTATGACAATACGACTATGTTTATGTCAGTTTGTAAACAAAACGAAAGGTATTTTGTCACAAAATTAAACAAGGATACGGTTTTTATTTAAAATGACTATTTTTAATGGAAATAAATGGTAAGCGGTGTTTAACCATTTTTCCAAGTATCTGAACGAGTGTTTACATCAATTATCAGTGCCATCGTTTACAACAACAACATTGCTGTTTACAGGGGTAGTTAACTACTGACATTAACACCCTAATTGAAATTAGTTAGCATTAATTAAAACGGATTATCCCCTGACATGCCTGACGCCTTGACACAAGAATATTTGAAACCTTGCAAAATATCAGAAAACATCGTTATTAAGCTAAACAGTTAATGCACGGCACATTCCATGTGCACATTAAACACGTTGTTTGGGAACAAACTAATTTTAACAAAAACAGTTCCAGCGATCAGCTAACTTGCAATTATATTTCAGTTACGTTCGAACGTCACCTCCTGTGTCATCGCTAACATCAAACGTGTCAAACATAAGGTTAAGCGGGTGGTATTGTGGCCGGTATTGTGATCTCATTTACAACCCTCACCGGGTGGACGTGACCTTCAATGACCTGTTACGTAATCTGCACATTCCAGCAAAGGGGCTTACCTTTGGAGGTGTGTTATAAGGTATTTGAATTACGTTACACGGCCCTTGGGTATACAAGGTCAGGGTTGTATGTCTTGGGGCTGTGTTGGGCGATGCAGATAGCATGTTTCATTACGGTCAACCGTGACAAACGTAATGACTTTTACACTGAGAGCAGAATTAACAACCGGTTTAGATTAACATCGCATCATTTGATGTGTGAGGCAACTTATAGCTTCTTTTCATTTGTTATTGAAGGTTTTCCCTGGGAAACAAAATCATTATTGGATGACCTCTGATAAACACTTGTAGTGGACACGCTATATTAGAGAAATACAATATACTGAACATGATGAAAGGGAATTGATCAAAATACATACATTATTAAGCACAGTACAAAATGACAGGAAGTCTTCTGACTTGACAAATATTGCTGCTCGGCGGTGCGCTTGGTGTATATTTATTCGTACAAAGAGACATGTACAAAAGCATTGCTCTAGTGTTTGAATAGGCTCGATCGATGTCCGGGGAAATATATCACGAAATCGATCCCCGTACCTTGCAATCGTACCACATGTTACGTCCGTACTGGTACGGATAGTTTAGCTCCTACCTTTCGCCATCACACTTGTTTGCAATATTCATGTTTTGGCTGTGAGGTCACTATTGATCCTTTTGAAAACTAAATGGTTTAACTGTAATGCTGATAGATTAAACAGATTGACATATAGCCTATTCCTGAAAGCGATTCATCACAAAGACAGTCGTAAGGCCTACATAACCTTACACTGACGTACGGCGCGCTTTGAATCAGAGCTGTTTCACAAAGCAACCTTGATGTTAAGTGTATCGAACCTTGAATATTTGAACACGGATTGGTATACTCGCATGTCCGCTCGTAGCGCGGAGATCGTTAGCAGGGCATGGCTGCCAAAAGGTTATTAATATTATATATACATATATGGATATATATCCCTTTTGGTGAAGATAGGGATTCCAAAATTCTTCATAAGCATGCCAAAATAGAACTATAATATAACAAAGGATTAAATACGTTTATTAAATAATAATATTGCATGCCTTTGAAAATAATTTCAAAGGTAGTTTGAGTCAAAACATTGGAATGTCAATTTAAAATTTAAGATGACGAGTATTAATGCACCATCTTGAATCTAGCATGTTGTTGAACTGAAATGTACGAAAAACACAAATATCACCAGAATATCAGCACACAAGCACGTGACCTGTCAGTTGTTGATTGGCAGGGGTGTCAGCAACGTTCCACTGCAACATACACGAATGCAGCTACAATGATCTAAACAGTGACCAGCACTGGTCAGTCAGCGAGTGACCGCTAGATACAATCCAGCGGCTAATACTTGACACATGGGATTTCTAGAACTATATATTCCTGAATCGTTGTAGTAGGACTGTACGTGATTATGATCTCAAACTAACGACACACATTCAACAATGTGAACACAGATCTTCTTGTCTAACACGTAACATATTTGATGTGAGGTAATCACAACGACATTGGTCCCGCATGAGGAATTGACGAAGCTGATGTCGATGTTGTTGTGATGTTGCCATCGTCGTTGTCGTCATGACGGAGTGTGGAAGATAGCACAATACTCGCTAGTGACGCCGACAGTCGCCGAGCTTTGGAAGTGCACGATAAGCAGATACGAATCACTAACACGTGTATGTTTCTGTCACCTCCCTATTTTCCCTGATTTGCCCTTTTTCCATTTCTTTATCATTTCATACATTGTGTCCATCGCTTCGGGGAGACCTTCCCCTGTAACAGCACAGGCCGAAGCCAATTCACATAACTGAGACCGGGAGATATCGGAGAGTGATAACATTGTCTCTATCTCCGACGGTTCTAGCACTCCGGGTAAATCCTGTTTATTCGCTATGACGAGGCACGGTAGACCGTGAGTGTTTTGGGACTTAACAAACTTCATAAGTTCAATTCTCGCTTCCTCCATTCTCTCTTTATCACTGCTGTCCACAACAAATATAATCCCATCCGCCGAGCGTAAGTATGATTTCCACAACGGCCTCATATTATCCTTTCCTCCGACGTCCCAAATCGTGAACGTCACTCCTTTAACTTTGCCACATTTTCCTTCGACCTTTTCACAGTTGAAACCAACTGTTGGTATTGCGTTCATATATTGGCCGAATTTCAGCCGATACAATATCGTAGTTTTCCCAGAAGTGTCTAATCCGACCATGAGAACTTGTACGGAAGCTCCCCCTCCCATAGCCTTACATTGGGGGGACGCCGAATCAGTCAGGTGTATCAAGGTACAACGATTAACGCAGCCAAGCCAACACTGACCGCCGGCATGGTGTGTAGCGAAATTCTCACAAACGTTTCACTGATAAAACAATGACACCGAGGCGGAAGGAAAACGTCCCACGTACCTTTACGTGGGTGTGTATGTATATCCGCAGGTAGACAATCCCGAATCCATTCACTGAAGTGACCGAGTTTCGTTGCAAGTGAATACAATGAATTTGCTTATCACAGCGAGCTGCGGTCTGTAGCTATCCTGGACCCACAGCAGGTGACTTCTGGCGGCCAACTGGGGAGCTGACCTCTCACTCCACACAGTGTTATTCACATGTGATGATATAATTCTGACAGTATGGGTCCACCTTGAGCCTTGCCTAGCTGTATTTCCGGCCATTCAAACAGTACGACTACGGATAGTGACACACATATCACTCACTGTTATCGACATAGCCCCGATCTCCCAAATATGGAATGACAACAAATGCAGCGCCACCTTTTGTCGTTTCGAACAAGGGGAAGTAACCCGGAACATTGAAGCGACAGTAAAATCCCGTGGGTGTGATGTATTATTTTCGACTAAACATTACGTTTTTTGGTGTTTCTGGATGGAACATCGACGCTACATCGCTCTCTCTCGACCTAGTTTAAACTACCTATACTTAGAAATAAATCCTACATTATCGTTGAAATGTTTCTGCTTGTAATGTTATGTTTAGAATAAGTAAGGGGGCGGGTTTCATCTTTTAAGAATAGTATTTCAACTATGTCGCGGCGTGTCATGTTGGTTAGCTTCAGGTCACTTACATGTATAACTTTGTTGAAACTCACAGTCACGGGGGTATGTTGCTGACAAACAAGGGATGATAATCGGATGGATCTCACGATCATCGGATCCTGTGACGAGTCCAGCACAACGCATCATGGCGCCTGAAATCATAGGACCACCTGCTTCTTGTACAAACAACATTAACAAAATGTCGTACGTACTTCAACCTATTTGTAAAAATGTATCATTTTCCTTTTGATGAAATTAGATGTTATGGTTCATTGTCTGTTGACATCAACAATATGGCAATATTTTGACCCATTTAAAATCATCTTTCGTTTCCGAGTACTTACACATTTTTCATAGGAAAACGTTTGAATTTCAAACACTTGTGGTGTATAAGAAAAGAAAACCTTTGTTGCCTATGTCTGCACATCACTATTCACAGCTCGTGTATTCTGACTAATCATGATCTCAATGATAGAGGACATTATAAACTGATTAACAATGAACGGGTTGCAAAAATTAACGCCTGATTGAATTCAATGATTTATATTACCCACGCTTACATATGATTTATGAATGCCACACGAACGACACTGAGCGTCATCAGACCGGAACGAATTAGATAGGGTTGGGACGGGTAAAACTACCACCCGGATACCCACCACCTTAATACCCGACCCTACCCGGGTACCCGCTGTAGATATTTAGAGATAGGTACAAACTGTCCGATTTTAAAATGTTTGACCTTAGCCCTGGCAAAATGTATTTAGATACACGTGTAAAACGATCTGGCCATGCATACACTGAAGTTTACTGCATGAAGTTTTATCTGTATTCAAACATATAAAAGTCAGAAGGAATGGGTGCATTGTCAGAAAGAAATGGGAACATTAGTGACTTATAGTGTAACCATAGAGTTTTTGTCATTAAAGAATATATCACGTGACTAACCACGGGTCCTGGTAGTCCTGTGGGTACCCGGGTCCTACTCAGGACCCACCCGACCCGAGAACCCGAGTTACCCGTCCCAGCCTTAGAATTAGACACTGAACCTATAATACACGCTGGCCTCTAAATAGCAATATGAGGAGAAGTATTGTTTGTTGTTTTACGCCGCACCCAGCAAATTTTCTGCGGTACGTCGGCGGTCTGTAAATAATCGAGTCTGGACTAGACAATCCAGTGATTGACATCGTGAGCACCGATCTACACATCAACCAAGTCAGCGAGTCTGACCACCCGATCCCGTTAGTCGCCTACAACAACAAGAAATGGTTGCATTGGCATCCCGGATCTTCACGGGTAAAGAGTGGTAAATCAGACGGCGGGCCAATGGGACGGACGAACGGACGGGCGGAGAGTTGGATTATGTAGGCACCACGTCTGTGTCCTGTGGGTCACGTAACAGGATAGATGGGTATGTTGGCACCTTCCCAGGGCGAGAGAGTCCACTAGCCTATTTAACAAAGTCTATTAGAAACTCGGCTTTGGTATAGGCTGGTGGATACGCCTTCCTCGCGAAGATGGTAGGTGGGTGGTTGGATTTCTGTTTGAGAAATAATATTCTTTCGGTCTCTCCCTCAAAACATTCTTTTCTCAAAAAAAAGGAGCCAGTCAAAAAAAATCACAACACATTTTTTGTGGCACGTCCAGCCTACATTTTGTTTTAACTAAAAAACTGACGCAAACTTATTTTCCCGGTATATTCTAGGACGTGATTTTTTCATCCAAATTTCAGTCCCCATCCTAACTTTTAACATGGTCGGTCCCTTCAGTGAGGGATTGCTACGTCTGTCAACACGGTGACAAGATTTAATTTGGTTTTCCCTGTTCAGCAGCTCAAAAATGTCACAGGTGATTCATCTGCAATTAGTTAAAAACATTATAAAGGGCTTTTCCATATCTCATTTTTTAAAACTCTGAACCCCTTCTACAAAGCTCTCTACCTGATTTGCCCGCAATAACAGGAACTTGGTTTCATCTGGCAACGGGATTCAAGTGCCTTTCCCTAACATTGTTGACATATCGCACCACAACATTTTTATGGTAACGTCCTCGGTATGCTAGCTGTGCCACGACGTAAAGCAATGCATGCGATTATTCTGGAGGTGTTTGGAACAACAGGTCCCCTATTTCGTCCACCTATACCATGTCGACAGCCACCACGAGTCTCTCTTTGCACTACGTGCAGTGGACCGAACGAACAATTCTACAAGGTGCATGTATTTTCAGTTAAATATTTGGTGACGTGATCTTTTGGGTACTTGTGTGTGACGTGTTTCACAAAAGCGCACTTGTAGGTCGCCCCATTCTTACAGAGCACTCGGGATATATTTGCATTTTAATGACTCTAGAATGCGGCCATACATTCAGAGAATTGCATATCACAGCGTTGCAAGAAGCTTACCAGAGCGAATAATATCGCCGAACAATAGAAGGCTGTTATATATACAGTATATATACGAGCATACGATTAAACAGATAAACTTTAATTCTTTATTCACTTGCAACATAACCCGTACACGTCAGACATAATAAATTATCATTTTCTTCAGGTCATGTTCAGCAAACAGAGTTCATCTTGGCAAAACCTAAGGCAATTATTTCTCTTCAGTATTTCTAGAACAAATAAATTAACGTCCCACCCACCCACTCAAATGGTGGGTCCCATAGACTAACATTTTTCTCCGAAATATTATTATTGTAGAAAATGATTTTGTTACCCTTTCTTTTAATATCTAAAATGTAATATGTATAAACTAATATATTATAGAATTGAGCCTGGAGTATCTCTTCATTTTCAGAAACCGACGAAATCTAGACTTGCCAAATGTAGACTTGCATGGGAATTTTCGAGTATTTCTCTTTCAGGCTATGAAAACACGGTGCTTGGATGACGGGCGAGGGATGTGCGGTTCGTAGTGGATACACGACGCCAAGGCTGTTTTAAACACAAAAGACTGTATTTCTGTTGGAGATGCACATGGTCAACTCCCCTGGCTGGAGTCTGCCATTTTGGTACATATGAAAATTGGAGAATTTTGTCACTTTAATAACAGCGATCTTGTGATATAAATTTGTCACTTGTTTCACACCCGATAGACGATGTAACAGAACCCCCTTTTCATCACTATATGGCTCCGCTTAAGTCGAAGTGAAATGTGATAATATATTGATCAGTGGATAGGTCACTGGCATAACAATATATAGTATGTTTAAATCGAAGTGAAATGTGTCGATATATTGCATCATTCGATATGTCACTGGCATAACAATATATAGTATGTTTAAACCGAAGTGAAATGTGTCGATATATCACTGGTATAAAAATATACAGTAAGTCGAATACAGAGAGTAAAGTTTATTCAGTGCCCATAGAACAACCATACACATCACATACAAAAGCAGGGACTAGATGGTTTTAATCTGTACATCATCTTGCTGGCGAGAAGTAAGAAAATAATGCAACCAACTGCTTCATATATAAACCTTTAACGAAAGGCAGGAATGTTTGGCAAATCCACACGCTGATAAGGACACAGTAAAGCACTTTTTGTCTAAACTGATTAAATTAAATTTTATTTCGGTTTTGTAGGCCACTGGTCCCTGTACAACATAAATAAACATTTTAAGTGTTCACACAGGAGCATTGATTTCAATGACAATATTTATTAAAACAGGTTTTCGTTGAGCTGAGGCTTCCATAATGTACTTCGAACAGTTTCCAAGAATGTGTACAATTACTGCTAATTAATGTATTATATTTATCGACATTGCTAATTTGTCCACACACTGGCATATATTTGTTACGGGTAGCATCATAGGCTTTACACTCAAACATGAAATGGATTTCGTTTTCATTTGCACCACAAACACACACTTTACATGTCATATTCACACTTTAACCTCTCATATTCACACTTTAACCTCTCATATTCACACTTTAACCTCTCATATTCACACTTTAACCTCTCATATTACACTGTATAGGATGGCGGTCGGGTAGCCTTGTGGTTACAGTTTCGCTCGTGACGTTCGATTCCCGACATGGGTACAATAAGTGAAGCCCATTTCAGGTGACCCCCACCGTGATACTACTGGAATATTGTTAAAAGCGGCGTAAAACCATACTCACTCACTCACTGCACCGTAGAGGCAGCTCATGTAATCTAAGTAAACACATATATCTTCTGACATTCGTTTGAAGCTTACATAACATTCAACATTTAATAAGGATTTAATTTCTTGAAAATGTCTTAGTGAGTGAGTGAGTGAGTGAGTTGGGTTTAACGCCGCTTTTAACAGTATTCCAGTTATATCGCGGCGTGTCAGCTTAATGTGGGATGAAAGCCCGAAGTGATGCAGGTCTCAGACGTTTACCACTTCGGTGAAATCCACGAGCACGGGTATGGTGCTGACAAACCTAGAAACATAATCGGGGCGAACCGGGATTCGAACCCACGATCATAGGTTTCTGGCGTGCCCAGATAATATCTTTGATGCAATGAGTGATTGATGTACCAGGAAAACGCTGCTTAGCAGTATCCATTATTCTGTTCTTAAAAGTAGAAAATAACTGTGTAATATATCCAACATCCGGACAGTACCAAACCAAACCAAAACCATATGAACACATCACATATTTAACAGATGCAGCCCAGGTAACTCTTCCAACCAGGTCTAATTACCTCAGAAGTAAATAACACTG